AGCACATGTGTGACGGGACTAATCTTATAAACTCATTGTGCGGAAGTCGGGATTCTCCGGATGCATATGTGTGTTACGTGAGAGAACCGGATGTGCAGCTAGTTGGGATGACGCCGGCCATGTAGTGGAGGGTGACATTGTCTCCAGTATGACCGAATTGACAGTTGTGAGGAGGGATGGCAGGTTAGAGTCGATGGAATACCAGCAAGGCAGGGTTTTCTGCAGTCGAAGTTTGGGGTTCATTGAACATCAGCGAAACAGCTGATCGTGGAAGCTGGATTGTTCAGGGTAGCAAAAAAAGAAAGAAACAAGTGAAATGCAACATCGAGATGTAGTACTACAGTTCACGGGGTGCAAAGAACAAGGAGCTTTAGATATATGTTATGATATTGCTTGATAGTCATCAAATGCTAATGTTTCAAGTAATAAATGAGGGTATCCTCGCAAGGTATTAGATGAAGCCAAATATTTCCTCCCACCGGCAGTCCCATTAGCGCTTATTCATGCGCGTGTTGCTTTGCTCATTCGCCCTTTTTCGCCCAGAACTCCTCGCAAAAAGCACAATCATGATAAGTTATACAAGAGAAAAGAATGAAAAGAAGATCCAAAATGCTCATCCCAAACTCCGTCGCAAAATCCCAATGCAGTTTTCAAGAAGCAAAATGTTGTACAAGGTCATCGATGTGTGATGGACCTAGAAAGGGAAGGTGTGAAAAAGGGGGAGAAAGCGAGAAGTTCACCAGTTTTAGGCCTTCTTCTCCTCCTCGTCGCACTCGTCGTCTTCGTTGTCGTTGTCTTGTAGCCAGCCGCGGCTCATCTGGACAGCCTGGTTCCACTTCTTGAACCTCTTCTCGGCACACTTGCGAGAGATCTTGGGCTCGAAGACCTTCCGGCCGGTCCGGTTGACCTCCTGGAGCTCGGCGGTATCGCTCCAGACACCGGTAGCGAGGCCGGCAGCAATGGCAGCGCCGAGAGCGGTGGTTTCGCACATGGCCGGGCGATCAACGGGAATACCGCTGATGTCAGCCTGGGTCTGCATGGTCAGGTCCGAGTTGGAAAGACCGCCATCTACAGCGAGGAGCTTGAGCTTGCAGCCTGAGTCCTTCTCCATGGCATCAAGGATGGCCTTGGTCTGGAAGCAGGTAGCCTCGAGAGTGGCACGGGCAATGTGTCCCTTTTGAGTGTGTTGGGTAATTCCGACTGTAGAGCACATGATAGGTTAGCTTCTGATCTTCTTGTGCATGAATGTGACACTTGGATGATGCTCCAAAGTGGGTCGGGAGAAGCTGTGCGGAAAGAGTGGGTAATGGCGATCACTTACAGAGAGTTCCCTTTGCATCATCGATCCAGTAAGGGGCGAACAGGCCGCTGAAGGCAGTGACGAACACAACACCTCCGTTATCGGGCACCGACTCGGCGAGGTCGTTGATTTGCTTCGCGTTGTCAATAAAGTTGAGGTTGTTCTGGAGGAAGGTGACGCCGGAGCCGGCGACAGCGATGCTGCCCTCGAGGGCATAGACAGGCGCACGGCCCTGGCCAAAATCGTAGGCGACGGTGGACAGAAGACCATACTGGGAGATGACGGGCTCGGTGCCGACGTTGTAGAGAAGGAAGCAGCCGGTGCCGTAGGTGTTCTTTGCTTGGCCGGGATTGAAGCCGCACTGGCCGACCAGGGCGCTGGATTGATCGCCCAAGCAGCCAGCGATCGGCACACCTGACAGCGCGCCACTGGCAATGCGACCGAAACATTCAGGGTCTGACGAAGGGACGATCTTGGGCAAATGCACCTTGTTTCGGTCAATACCGAAGAATCCTAGTAGCTTGTCGTCATACTGCAAAGTGCGGATGTTCATGAACATGGTTCGGCTGGCGTTGGTGCTGTCTGTTACGTGGACGGGGCTCTCAGCCTGGGCACCGCCATTGAGCTTGTAGATGAGCCAAGTGTCAACAGTGCCGAAGGCGAGGCGGCCTTGCTCGTAGGCCTCCTTGACGGCCTCGACGTTCTCAATGAGCCAAAGAAGCTTGACGCTGCTGGGGTAGGTGGAGAGGGGAAGACCGCAAAGGTCCTTGATGGCATCAGCGCCATCCTTGGCCTTGAGGTCACGGACAATGGACTTGGTACGGGTATCGGGCCAGACGACGGCGTTGTAGAGAGGCTCGCCGGTTTCGTGGTCCCAAACAAGAGTAGTCTCGCGCTGGTTGGTAATGCCGATGGAGCGGATGTCGTTCTTGGAGAAGCCTAGTCGTTGGAACTTGCGCATAGCACCCTCAATGCACTCCTCGACCGAGCTGAGCAGGGTCATAGGGTCGTGCTCGTGCCATCCCGACTTGGGGTAGAGGTTCTCAAACTCGATCTGGTGGCTGGCAACGGGGTCGCCCTCGCCGTTGAAGATAAGGAAGCGGGAAGAGGTGGTGCCTTGGTCGACAGAGCCGACAAACCAGTGGGTTTTCCTCTCCTCCGAGGTCTCGTGGATGCCGCGGGGGAGGTGCTCTAGGTGGCTGACAATGGGGCCCTTGTGGGCCTTTGCTAGGTTGCGGGCGTCCATACCATCGTTTGCAAGAGTGGGTTCTACGCAAATGACGCCGGGCTCGACGCCGTCGTTGAGGTTGAGTAACTTCATGGTGACTGAAGTTGTTTGTGCAGGGCGGGGATAAGGCGGGGTAGTAGGTGGTTGTGATTCGTGCGGGGGGTGTGTATTTGTCTGTGTCGTTGTGGTTGTGGTTGTGGTTGTGTGACTTGTGTGACTGAAACTGGGGTGGCTGGTATTGTTGGTGGTGGTGGTGGTGGTGGTGGTATAGAGAAAGGGAGATGGAGATGAAGAAGAAAGAAGCTGATGGTTGTGAATGCTGTTTCGGATGGCTGAATAGGCTGAATGCGGCCGGGTACTTGTAGTATTGAGACGGGTCGCGGATGAGGCAGGTCTGACAGAGTCAATGCCTACTATGACACAGCCGGAAGCAGTGACACAATGTGGAGGAGAAGATCGAGATCGGGGAAGACTGATCGTCTGCTGGAGAAGGACCCTGGATTGACGTCCCCAGGATTGACGGGCCAAACAGAGGTGAGCAAGTGGAGGGCTATGATGATGGACTGGAGGACCGTTGCGACCGCGGCTGCGGCTGCGACTGCTATTGCGTGGTCGAGTGCGGAGGAGGAGACGCTGTGATCGCTCTTGCTCTTCTTCTTGTCGCTGCTGCTGTGCGGGTGATGGACGCTGTCGACGAGCTGCTGCGGCTACGTCATAAAAGGCCTGGCCCTAGCTTGACGGTATCGGCGGTGCTGATAACAGGAGAGTGCTGATGGTGGTGCACGGACGTCGAGTTCTCTTGATGGTCGAACAAGACTGTCGATGGTGTGCGTTGATGACCTGGTGCGACCACCTCATCGTCCACATGGAGGGCGATATGTCTACCTTATTTATTCCAGCCAGCTGCGCCTGCTTCTCCAGCTTCTCCCGCTTCTGCTGCTGTTTCTGCTGCTGGCTATGCTGGCTATGCGAGCTATGCTAGTCTCGTTCCCCTGGCTAGGCGCAATCTGGGCTGGACTCTTGTGACCAGCTGCAATACGAATTGGGCTCTTTCCTGTCCCAGACTTCCGAACCTGTCCCAGGCCTGGCTCGTGTTGTGCGCGCGCGTGCAGGGTGAGCAGGTGTGGCAGGGAGAATGCGCAATCGATTTTCTCGGCAGTAATCTTTGTCAAATTGTCCAGCTGATTTTTTCCGTCTGTTTCTCTGGAGAAAAAAAAAACTGATCGGCACGCTTTGCGCTTGCAGGCCAGTGGTGGAACATTTGCGGGGATCCGCTCGCTGCCCAATCATTCCCCCAAATTCCGGTACGCGCTAGAAGGGTACCTTTTTTTTCCCCTCAGCACCAAGAGCACCTCCACGGCTCGCCAACGTCGCATCCTGCAGCGCGGTTACACTGCATCATGGCTGTTGAAGGTACCTCCTGCATGGAACATGTCTAGAGGCCGCGAATGCGGATGGGCGGTCGCAGGGGGAGAATTGCCCCGCAAATGCGGAGTCGTGCTCAAAAGAACCACTTTTCTCCCTTTTACAACCACCAACACGGACAAGATTTGCAACCGACGAGGAGCCTCGAACATTCAACACAAAGTCCAGAACGCTCCATTTCGGACAGAACCCGGCAAAAGACTGGTGGTATTCGCGACTGGAGTTTGTTCCGGCTCTCCATTGCGATGCGCCGGCACCACCGCCGTACACTAGCCAGGAGCCTCGACTATGCACCTCCCTCCCCTCTCAGCATCCCATCGAAGCGCACAACTGCTGCAGAACTGATAACGTTATTTTGGGCTCATCACAAAACCTGAATGAACCTGTGACCTGTCCTGTCTTTCGTCGTCTCCGCCCCTGATTCTGACAATGCTACCCCCCACCAACATCTTTCACGGAGAACTTGGAGTCTGGCAAGTCCCGTCCAGGGGCAACGACCGGATTTCCCAAAATATACAATGCGATTTGAAGAGGACCTGGGACGGGAGCGGCATCGACGGGAACAGGCAAGCGTATCAAGATTCCAGAAAGCCAAGAAGCCGCCCCTACACTGTGCTGACTTGTTGCTGTTGTTGGTGTTGTCACCTGGTCTTGTCACCTGGTGTTGTCACCTGGTGTTGTCACTTGTCGTTGCTATGATGCCCCTTGCCTCACAATGCCTCTCAATGCCACCCGACACCACCCGGCGGTTACGTCTGTCGGCCGACGATCGTTTGGATAGGGCCCTCTCGTTGGCTTATCGCACCTCAGCTATGAGATAAGAAATGTGGACTGCTCAACCACCACCTCGAAGATTTGCAAAGGCGAAAAAGGCGAAGCGCAAGCCACACATTGTGTAGCCATACAGAAGGCTGACGGCCCAAAACGTCCCCCGGGGCCCTCATCATGCTCGGTCACGGTGTTCTCTTTTGACGTCAAAACCTACGGCTGACGTTAGAAAACTGGAGCAAAAGGCCAAAAAGAAGACTGTTCACTCGCCGCCGGGAATTGAGCCCGACGTGGGGGTCGAACCCACAACCTTGAGATTAATAGTCTCACGCTCTCCCGATTTCAAAGCGCAGTGCTCATGTTGGGAGTGCGGGCGCACAACTTTCGGTCAACAAAGCGTGTGCAAAAGGTCCATGAGTTCCTGGGAGTCCATGTGGGAGGGAGTGCTATCGCCAGTTGGCCGGGCTTCCTAATTGGGAAGTGCCGAAGTGGGCATCGTCGATTCAAGCGACTACGCGCCAAACACTCCCGGACATGGGCGCTTGCTTCTGACCAAAAGAAAGAAAGAAAGAAAGGGTAACATTTGTCGTATTTGTCGATCCGCTAAATGCCGTGGAGTCGCGTCCCAAATGACGAAATTTTGGGTTGGGTCACGGGAGTTGACGAATTTGACAGAATTCAGTGAGCATTCGAGAAGACGGCGTGTTCGGCGTGCCTGCAGCTGTGGACGCTGTGGAAGACTGAGGGGAAAGGCAAAGAAACCGAGACATTGACGAAGAAATTCCGTCGGCATCGCAGGAGTGAGACTGCAGTACTTAGGTAGGTAGTAGTCATGCCCGGTCACACATGGTCGGCTCCGACTTGCAGGATGCCCACCTTCTTCCCCATGCTTCCCACTCTTTCCTGTACGCAACAGGAAGGAGCATCTTGAAACAGAGGGAGAAGATTGGAAAATTACCCCCCGTCCATCAGACACCACCATCGTGTCCAGATTTCACTCACAAGTTCCCAGCAGTAACCGTTGCACCGAATTACCCCGATGCAAGTTGTAAATAGTTCAGAGCGCCCAACAGGAAAGCACGAGCAAACCCTTGGTGTTGAGATTCCACTTCCATCACTTCCAGGGACGAGCAGGACAAGAAAGGGCAGAAACGCCGAGATAGCAGAGAGATTGAGTGCGACGGTTTTGTTGGTCTTGTGATGTCAATTGATCTTCATGAGCCAAGGCCAACTTTGGGCTAGTTTGAGAGTGTTGACGTTGAGCTTGACCCCGCCCGCTTCGTGCTTTTTGCTTGCTCTCCCGCGCGTTCCACTTGTTCAGGTCCGGCGGGCCTTGCCCCCCTTGTCTTGCTGCCCTACGGAAGTACTGTACTACCGTTGGAAAGTGTGAAGACTGTCGGTCGCCGAAGACGAAAAGTTCACAGGTAACGGTACGGTACGGTACGTACCTCGTCCATGTCGGCCCTTCGCCTCGCCATGGAAAGTCGCCCTTTTGGGGGTTTCCCCTTGAGCTCCCGCAATTCCCGTCAATCCCGTTCCCGCCGGCTTGTCCCAGGGCAGCGCGGGCTCAGCATGCGCTTCCCGTCTTCGTCCCGTCGACAAAAGGCGAACAAGACAGGCAGGCTTCATGCCCAGGCCCCCACTGAAGCGACGGCCCCAGTGATGCGCCCTGCCAAAAACAGCGCCGTGGGTGCGCGGGTGAGCATGATGATCCCGCAATCCCGCCAGATGGGCCTGTTTTTATTTATTTTTTACTTGCTGCGCATCGGTTGGGAAAAAAAAATGGCAAGATGGACAGTCGCCACCAGGGTTAGGACTTGGATATCAACACCACCACTTCCCACACCCCGACATATGACAAGAGTTCACTTCTCTAACCATTTTGGTCAGCCTCTAGAGTCCGAGTGGGCCAATGAGCGCTGCCATGAGGCGCTCCAACCTGGCATCGAGGTAAAATCTCTGGATTGGTGAAGAGTAATGGCCTGTCGTCTTGTCGCAGCGTCCTTTGGGCCTCTAGAGGGGTTCTCCTCACCGCGGGCCAGTTGCTGCATTCACCGTACTTGCAGGTTTGGGCTTGAAACCGGATACCGCTTCCACTCATCCGTAAGAGATTTACTCCCCACAATATTTCCAGAGCCTAACCTTCTTGCAGTATGGTTAGCTCCCTTATGCAATCCCACTGTAACCCGTGTGGATACAGTAAACGTGGTATGGCACGGGGCACACGGCTGGCATAGGTCACTTGGAATCGGCTGCGGGGCTGTCAGGGTTGAATGCCGGCCCGGCTAAACTGTAAGAAGGTTAGGAGGCTTCGCTAGGTAAATCTCTTACGAGTAAGAAAAAGCGGTACCTGCGAACCAAAGGAGCGATCCTATCACAACCAGGGGATTTACCGACCCGTTTCGAGACACGGCACTTCCACCGCCTGCTCATTCGGTGTCTGTTCTGAATGGGCGCCTTGTTGGCCCATTCAACAATTGACCAGCGAAACAAGGAAAGGCCACCCACGAAATTCCATTTCTTATTAGGCGACCTTGAATTGAGAGACACGAAAGTGGAAAGAACTGGTGTGCATGTTTGGGACCAGTGCCAGCCTGTCACTACTATCGCGATCTAGCCTCATCTCGGTCCCCAAGGAATCTGGAGCCTTTGCTGGCTGCTTGGCCCTTGCATCAACCCCCCAAGCCCGCAACCCACCCTCCAATCCACCCCACTTCCCCTCCCCCCCTCCTTCTTTTTTTTCTTTGTCTTTCCCGTCAATCGTTTGCCGCCGCTTACGAGAGGGTATCTTTATCTTTCTACATTGAGCAAGCCGGCCTAGCACGTGGGAAGCCGGGACTCCAATGTCCACCGATTCGGCCGGGAGCCAAGCCTCCCAGGCCATGCTCCACATGCTGGACTACATCTCCACGCACGACCATGATCTTTTTGAATGGGACGACCATGGGAGGGAAGAGTCGGACGCCTGGCTTCGTCCGGTCCAGGACGCTGGCCTCAGTCCCAAGAAGCACAAGGTCTTCCACCATGCCAACAAGGAGTACCTCAAACCTCCGCAACCCTTTGTCCAGATAGGTCCCGAGTTGGGTGACTCCGGCTCGACCATCGTCTACAAGGTCACCCCTCCAGACGGCCAAGGCTACAGACGACCCCTGGCCCTCAAAGTCATTGTTTGCAAAGAAAACACACGCCCGCCTGGTCCCGACAGCAATGTGCGCAAGCTGGCCCTGCAAGAGGTGCAGAACATGGTGGCGGTGCGCCATCCTCACATCGTCGTCTACGTAGCTTCGTTTGAGGACTATTGCATCTCCAACCGCCAGGTTCGCCAGCGCCGTGTTGCCGGCACCGGTGCTCGCGCCGTCTTCAGGAGAGTCGATCAACAGATCAAGCGTCACATACTCGGCATCGCCATGTACCCTCCAGCCGACTGCAATCTACGGACTTTTATGCTCGAGATCGCGTCCGCTGCTGCCCACTCACCAAAGACTGCTGCAGAGGAGCATTTGATGGTACAATATCTCCATACGTATTTCGGTTGCTTAGCCCAAGCCGTCAGCTACCTACACAAGTCGACAGTACGGATACGACACAAGGACATCAAACCCGAGAATGTTGTCATAGACAGTTATGGCTTTCCTCTGCTCACCGACTTTGGGCTTTCCAAGCACTTTGAAACAGGCCAGCATTCTCAAGGGCCGACTGCCAAGACGCTCAAGTATGCCGACCCAGAAGCAATGCAGGAGACTCAGCGTGATGAGAGGTCGGATGTCTTTTCGTTGGGTTGCGTCTTCCTCGAGATGGTAACCGTACTGCTCGGGAAACCTCCATCGTATGCTGAGGAGCAGCTTGAGCGTATGGCAGGCAATGCCGACCAAGTGGGCGAGTTCAAGTACACCGATGCGCTAGACAACTTGCAGGAATACATCGATCATCTCGAACACATGGCAGAAGCTCAACTCGATGCCCTTCCATCCTCATCGCCAGAGAAACCTATGCCGTCAACGAACTTCCCACCGTCCATGCCTAAGTCACAGTCCTTCAAAGCTCGCCAAAGAGAGAAGGAAGCATCCCTAAGCGGCGTCATCAAAGTCCTCAGACCCATCAGAAGAATGATGGATCATGATTACCACGTGCGTCCTTACGCCAGGGACCTCTACCCCTTGTTCAGCCACCTCTACGATATCTACGAAAGCCCCGGTCGCTGCGAGAATTGCGAGGAACAGATGCTGACAGGCAGCTCGCGTCCGCCAACACGGGCGCCGACCATGGCGGGGGTGGCCAATGGCAATGGCAATGGCAATGGCAGACAGCAGATACCGCTACAGCGGACAAGGTCGAACAGCCCGACTTTGGCCAAGAGTCCTACGGCTGGTTCTGGTTCGTTTGCCGTCAGGAGAGTGAGGGCCAATTCGCTGTACGTGGCCAAGCAGGCGTCACATTCGCCGACTGATGTGGTGGATATGGCTTATCCGCATAATGGGCATAAGGTGTGATGAGCATGAATGGACGGTCGACGGGTATGGTGAGGCAGGCCGAATTTATGGAATGAAGATATGAAAACACAACTCGGTTGATGAAAGTAAAAGATTTAGAACAACCGATGGGCAGTAGGTCTGCCAAAGCGAGGCGTTAATGAAAATACCGGGATTTTTTTGGATTATTCATGATGGGAGCAGGCAGCTAAAGGTACAATGACATTTGATTTGTGGCCAATTTGCGCAAACTGTACTCATCCAGCGGATCATCTGATTTAAATCGATAAACATCATGACAGCGAGACCGAGTTTTTTCTTTCTTTTTAGGATAACCTCGGAAAACATATGCTTGCAGGCTGAACATGCGCGTGAGATAAAGCGAAGCTACAGCTGGAGCCGGATCGGGCGGACCGAGTCGCACACCCACGCTTACTAACGTATTATATACACAACACGCGCTCTTTCCCACTCCTCCACCACCCCCTTAACCTCACCTTATGTTTACACGCCGAATATCTTGTCACCCTGGAAATCAACAAACAACCACAAAAGAACAAACGAAATGCCAGTCCGCGGCCCCGTCCCCGTCAATCTAGCCACCCGGCAGGCCGCCGAGGTACTCAAGGTCGGGCCCATGACCATCCGCGTCTACGAAGACGGATCCCGCACCGACGACCGCATCAGCGCCATCTTGGTGGAGATCCTGCCGGGGGCTTCGGGCCCGCCCATGCATTGGCATCGGTTTCATGATGAGCTATTTTTTGTTGTTAAGGGTGGGTCCTTTTTTCTTTTTTCTTTTTTTTCTTTTTCCAATCACTCGTTTATCTTACTGTGTAAAGAGCTGTGATGGGGATTGAGCAAGCTGGAAAAGGGAGTGATGTTAGAAT